GAATACAAGATAAATGATATTATTGTTTCACTGTATAGATCACTTGTAAGGCTTCATTTAGAGTATTGTGTACAGTTTTGGGTTCCCTTCCTCAAGAAGGACATTGAATTGTTTGAGAAGGTTCAGAGAAGAGCCACTAGGATGATTCAGGATGGTGGGATTGTTCTATGAGGAGAGACTAAAATTTCTAATCTTGTTTTCCCGGGAAAGGAGGTCAGAGGGGATTTGATTGAGGTGTTTAAGATTATTAGGGGTATTTATAACATAGATTCAAACTTTTTTGTGTTTAGCAGTGAAAACAATTGGACAAGAGGTAATAAATTCAAATTTTGGCAGCGTAGAAGCCGTCTGCAATTTAGACAATATTACTTTTCAAACAGGGTGGTTGGCTTTTGGAATGAGCTGCCTTCAAGGGTGGTGGATGAAGAAAATTTAACAGAGTTCAAGAAAAGATTGGATGAATACATGAGTAGTAAGAGGTGGTTAGTTGGGAGGGACGTCCTTGATGGGCTAATAAGCTCCTTTTTGTCCCTTTAATGTTTTATGAATTTTATATTTATCATATGATGAATAAGCTTTTTCATCCCGAGGAAGAGTATTCTATAATTACTTGTATCCAAACTGCACTCTCAAACTCTCACAATCGCAGACTAGGATACTCAACCTCACATAATATATACATGTATGCTTATTTATCACATAGGGCTTGTAACTACGTTAACTACTTAAACTTCTGTTGCATCATTTAGAATGAAAGATTGTTCAAGTGCCCAAATATTGAATCTGAATAGTGCATGATTTCTTTTCAATTATTTTGCTATAGACTATTATTCAAAAAGATGTGAAGCAAAACAAAATTAGAAATATGCCCAAAATTACGTCCAAAATAAATATTCCATTTTCAAAAAAGTTTAGGTATCAATTCTTGAACCCGTCTCAGAATTCTTATGGAAATTCCGCGACTTAATGGATTGGTTTAAAAGATAACATTGTAGTAGGAAAAAACGTTTTGTTTTATTCAGTATTATTTCATTAAGTTAAATGTAAAAAGAATTAATTCCTTTAATCCTAAAACACAACTAAACTACCATCAATACTGCAGTTAGTCCCACCAGTCACTACTGATGGTTCTCCTGTGTTGTACTATAAAATGCGTGGTTTTCTTTCTTCAGTGAAGAGTGGTTTATCATGTAAAAATGTTACGTTTCTCAATAAGATACACTGTGTGGGCTCCAACTATAGTGAACGGTATAAAACTGATCGGTAGTTTAATGTTTGAGTATTTATAAAACCTATCCCTCTGGTGTGAACAACAGAGTTGTAGTAACGTAATCTAAAATACAACCATTTTTATAATACACACGCACACATTATATATAACAATGTATATTATACAATTTACCCATCAATTGTCATTTCATAAAAAAACGATTCGGATTAAATTGAGAAAAATTACTCATATTTCGAAAAAAATTACCTTCTTCCTAGGATGAAAAATTCATCCGTGAATAAAACATAACATCAGTGATTAAAACTTATTTTATATTCTCGACTCCAAGCAACTCATTGTAGAAGATAAATATATTAATACAGTTGTGTTCATTTTCTAAAAGAACAAAACTATTAAAATGAATAATTATAAAACTAGGTTTGCTTCTAACATGAAATAGTCCTAATCAATATAGAAAAACATTCTTTATTTAAAGTTTTCTAGATTAAAAATGTAACGAAACATACAGACAAATTACACAAGTTAAAAAATTCATATAAATTTGTTAAAACTTTCGTAGTTTATACTATTATAAAATCTTGTTCAACATAATGTCATAATTTGTTTTGATTATAATTTATCAGTACTAAAATCAATCATTATTTTAAATCATTTTTAGAACGAGTATTGAGGGATTATAAAAGCTTTTATTTTTAGCTCAGTAGATGACGCCACTTCCACTAGTATGTGTTAGCTACGCTGCAGTCTCTTGGAAAAATTGAGCTTTATCCAGAAATGCCGCTTTTCGCTGTCTCCTTTCTTCCTCACCCCGCCTTCTTTCTTCTCGTTCTACTTTAATTTCTTCTTCGAAAACTTTGTTTCTCTTCTGTTTTTCGATCTGAAAAAGAATAATTTATGTTTTGCGTATGCAGATAACTTTACACTCTTCTTCATCTTTGCTTCTCTATCATTCGCTATGCAGTTAATATCGATATTTGAAAACTATTCGGTCAAAAAAATAGCTTCCATTAATATAATTTTTTACAATACTATTTTAATAAATCAGTTTTGTAAATATACAACTAAACAACAACAAATGATCAGGGCAGAACTAAATATTTACTTGTATACTTAATTGGTTCTCTTAAGTATATATATAACAATACAACACACAGATACACAAACCCACACAGTACGAGGACTTCAGGAAAATTATTGTAAATCTACCGGTTTCATGACTATGATTGTTACTGTAGTTTGAAGACTATTACTACTTAATAGTTCTTTTTACCATGCATTACTTACTAAATATTTAACGGTCTCTACATTTATTTTCAGAATGGACTCCCAGAAGAAAAAAAAAGACAATGGTATCTACGATGCCTCTAGCTAATATGTGTAGAAAAGGGTACTTCTATACAAATACATTACACAAGATATTCAATCAACTAAAATTATAGCTCAGTTACCATGTTAACCTTCTATCAGAAATAAACCCTCATTCCCAACAATAAAAAGTTTCAGAAAATTATTTCAGAATAACATAAGATTTTTTTTTTTTACCTGGGCTTCAAAAAATGTCTTAGCACCACCAACGCCAACTTTCTCGACATCTATCTCGGCAAGATGAGCAAACTCTAATAAGCCGCTGTCGACTGATAACTCTCCCGCTCTCGCTTTTCGAAAAATCAGAAGAAACTATAAAACAAATTTTGAAAAAGTTAAAACTTAACATATAAAAAAACATTTATGTCATATACTCTAGTGTCAACATTTCTTAATACCACTAAAAACGCGTCACTTCCGGACACTATACTCTAGTGTCCAATAATAAAACTGAAAGAATGACAGGTAAAACATAAAAAGTGAAACGTCTAATAAGAAAATGAAAATTAGAGCTATCTTTTTGTCACCTTACGCATTTACCTTTGCACTAATTTTCGAAAACCTACAAATTAACAAGTTTTCGTTTCAATTTTAGTTTCTGTAATTACAGCGGGACAGAAAAACAAAGCTATGAAAGAAGCTTTGATTACCTGTTGCACTAACAAGATTTCTGGAGTTGATTATAAGATATTATTTCATGACAATTTCTACTGTCCGCAAAACAAGTTACAGAATCAATATATAATAGTGAGTTAGGGAGATTTAGTTTGAAACTCCAACAATTCAGAGTGCTGTTCAACGATATTTTTCACCTTCATTTGAAGACATCTAAGATATAGATGTATACAAATTTAACGATGACATCTTTTGTTTCAAAATTTCGCGCAAAGCAAAACAAAAGTTATCTGCGCGTAGCAGTCTAGCAGAAACTAAGTTATGCTCACCAATTGTCAATTAAAGACTTTTACTTATACTTCTTAATAGTATAAATATATATACTGTGTTGTTGTTGGGCTTAGGATTCTTCTACAGTAGGTGTCCGACTTATTGACGATAAATGAACAGCATGCACTCACTTCTTTTTAAATAATATATTAAAAGCAAGTTAAACGTATGTACAACAAATTATTTAGACTATAGAGATTATAGGCATGTCATAAACACTATATAGTTCTCTTCTTGTCAAAAGTACACTTAGGCTTTTTCAATTGCTTTAAAATTTCAGTTGACAAGCCGAACTAACTTCCCCTATTTCTATCGCACTAGTATTCTGTATATAATTCACTTACAATTGTGGCGCGAGTTACCGCAGTTGTATACTGCTCTTGCAGTAATTGTTTGGTCTTCTTTCTTCGAAATACCCTCTTTTCCTTTTATCAAAGTGTACTCAGGCTGATTCAATTACTTTAGAACCACGCTTTGACGGAATAAATTTTTCTTATCTCATTTTCTGCTGTTATTCTTACTATAACATATTAAACGATAGGCCTATCAATTCTATGGTAGTTAAGTTCACGCCGAACTTTTCCTTGGCCGTATCACAGATCTTAACTTGCAAACATGTTTTTCAATGGTGTATCCAGCTTTTAGGTTTTCTCTTAGTCGGGAAGGGCATTAGATCCGAAGGGCTCGGAGAAATTGCATCCATTCACCCTAAATCTAGCCATACCCACCACCAACTCTTTATCTGATCGAATAACAGAATACCCACAGCCCCAAAGTGCGGAGCTGCATTGTTAAACAACCAGTACCATCGTTGTATTTGATTATATATTTTCTAAAGATAAGATTTGTGACAACTCGTTGAGAAATGTGCAACGTTCAGGTCACGCTTGAGAATCTTTTATCCCGGGTTCTATTCTATTAGCACATATCTTGTTCTTTATCTATGTAAGCCAAATGTTACATAGTAATTTATCACAATAGCATTATGCTAAAGTTTTGATGGCCGGGAGTAGCTACTGTTCATAGCTATATAAAAAAAAATAGTTAAAATAACTCCGATTATATGAAATGCACATTTTATTTTTCTCGGGGAAAAACAGGAACAAAAATAGTCTCTTCGCAAACATTGAAAATATCTCAAGAACTGCAATGTCTCCAGCTATTAGAATTGTTACATGGGTGAGAAGTAACAAACAATTCAAGTTAGTTTTCGTGTTTTGCATTACATGTTGAAGAATATATTGTGTTTCCTACAACTTTTGTTCCAGTTAAGGTAGAACTGACCCTTAAAACTGGGCAAATTTACATGCTGAGGAAATACTGTTAAACACTTCTTATAACCTCCAAATTGAGCACAAAACAAAACTATGTTTCAATATCTGAAACTTTCAGTTGTATATGACATATGTATAATTAAGATTAAGATAAGTTATTTATGTATAAAAGAGGTTAAACCTTCGATTTAGACTAAATTTGAAACATGTGATTTTTGAAATATTGGAGGCGCTCTTTAAGGATCAATGCTACCTATACGTCAGGATGTTCACAAAGAGCATGTGTATCAATTTTATTATGTTTTTATCATTTCTAAGTAGAGCTATGGTGTTCAAACAGTTTATGTTACGTATTTCTTTATCCCTGTGGTATTAATTATGCACATGACATATACGAATAAAAGTGTACTTTCAGAGATTGTGACATCATACTTACGTTTTGTGCTCAACTTGAATGTTATAAGAAGTGTTTAACTGTTTCCTCAGCATGTAAATTTGCCCAGTTTTAAGGGTCAGTGCTGTCTTAAGACTTCTCTACCATTGTAAAATAGGGTTATTCGTTGAGGGGTTTAGAAATAATAAATTCAACTATTATAATTACAATAAAACGGCATATGCTGTAACACCCTATAATCGAATTCAATACTAATAGTTTTAAACGTTTTACTTCTTGTGATTTCTAAGGGATAACGTTATAAACTTTGATTTTTATCTTGTGCGATGATCAGAAATATTTCTAAAGTTCTAAAACGAAATAGAACAAATTCTACTTCACGAAAGTTGATCCGATTATCCTGATCTTCGTCTATTTCTCTGATCATGTCTTTGAGAGCGAGATGAGTCTGCGGTGACCCTAGCTTCTCCATCATCCTCTTCAAATCATGAAAGTCGATGTAATTGTCTCCACCAACGTCAAATCTTGAAGATAAAGAAAGAAGTTACGATTGTTTTTAAAACACGGCCGCAAGTTCTAAGAGAATTAAACCTACTACGGTTTGATTGATTGATTGTTTGTAATTAAGCCCAAAGCTACACAATGGGCTAACTGTGCTCTGCCCACCACGGGTATCGAAACCCGGATTATAGCGTTGTAAATCCGCAGACCTGCCGCTGTGCCACTGGGGGGCACCTACTACGGTATTACAACATAAACTATTAACTCTGTCCCTTTTTCAAGACTATACAACATTTCCTACCACAGTTATTATATTAAAAAATTACCTACGATTAAATTGTTGCGGGGGGGGGGGAGTAAAAGTAGAAATGACAAGATCAGTGACAAAAATCAATATCACAATTAATATTGAAATACTACTTCATTAAAATACACGAAAAAATGGAAATTTTGACTGCGTTCTCAGGTCAACGAGACCAACTGAAACAAAATGGTGGACGTTAATATTTTATCCGGAGATGGAGATCTTTTATACAAGATCTTCATATACAAATTAGACGATTATGAAAAGCTTTTGTAACATATTTTACTACTATCTGTAAGAGAATTTAATGTAGTTCATTCTATTGCAATATTTTGACTTTTAACGTTATTTCTTAAAAGAAAAACTAATTATATATTACTGGAAAACGACGGAATATCTTTATCTTACAAATTCCATAGTGCTAATTCCATAATCCACAGTCTCGAATGTTCAAACTAATCTTAGCAGAAAATATTTAAACTGTATTTCGTAAAAAAGTAAGCAAGTCATGTTGAGGGAGTTGATATACGAGGGTCAAATACCAAGGAACCTATTCGGGCATAATGAGGAAAATCAACATGGGCTATTTAAGTCTTTTCACGCTTTTGTTGTATTCTTGTTACTTGTTCTATAAAATTATAAAATGAATTTTAATTTTATCTTGGGTTACGCTGAATGACTACTTTTTGCTGATGTTGTCTTCGTTATTATTTGTTTTTTGTGCTTGTTTTTCTTTAAGATTACATATAGCAAAACCAAATCTACCCACTGCTCTTGTTTATGCCAAAGATATAAAACACTAACAAGAACTAAACAATAAATTAATCCAACAAGTATTTTCTCGGCAAAACAATTTTAAACTTACTTACTAACTTGAGTTTTAGTTACCACAAACGTAAAAATGTACAACTTCTTTGAGTTTTAGTACACTACCTAACTCAAGCAAGTTGTACAATATCATGTACCAGACTCAAAACTTTGAAATCTGTATTCGCGAAATTAGAACTAGCTAAAACTAATACACAAGCTTGCGACGTCGTGTAGACAGGAGTTGTTGTTTTAAAATACAAGTGGATAAAAGTAACAAACAAGTTTGGGACGTCATGTAGACAGGAGATGTTTTAAAATACAAGTGGATAAAAGTAACAAACAAGTTTCTCCTGTCTACATGACGTCCCAAACTTGTTTGTTACTTTTATCCACTTGTATTTTAAAACATCTCCTGTCTACATGACGTCCCATGTTTTAAAATACAAGTGGATAAAATTAACAAACAAGTTTGGGAGTCATGTAGACAGGAGTTGTTTTTTCTACCCATAACAGATAAAAAAAAAAGATGAAACAAAACAAACCAGTTAAACTAAACGACAGGCTGCTTGATGTGCTACTTTTTTGTAAAACATTATTAACTTAAATATTCTAAATGGATAATTCGCAGTTTAAAGACACGAGGTCGGTATAAATTTCTTCGTTCCATCATGATTGGTTTGGGTAAATGAAGTTGTTCCATATATAAATAACAAACGCCGTATTAATAACATCAGTATCTCAGAATTATGACAATACCCAGTAATAAATACGACATTACGGAGATGTGTGATAAATTATCAAGATAGTAATGTTTAACACCAGAAAATACAAAAACACGTGCAAAATAGACGAGAGAGAGAGGATGTAACCAACGTTCCAGCCAACGGATATTAATCGTCTGAGCTGTTTATCATGTGTTCTAGTCCTGTTGTCTGCGCATTAACAACTCTTTAATATTTCCCTCCTCAGAATGCCTTCCTTTGTCGACCTCTGCATTTCATGCACAGGTTAAACCAAGCTTTGTTTGCTGTATTTATGACTATACTTATTAATACCCAACCTTTCTTTCATTCAGTCTATAAACTTTTCCTATATTTTAAAGCTTTTCTTCGTCTTCATCTTTCAGTGTTTTAAATGCATTATCTCTTCTCTTTACCTTTCTGCCCATTTTAAACTTTTCTTCAATATCCCAATCACTAACCGCACACCCATTTTATTTTATTCCTCGTCTTTCCTTAGTTTTGATTTAGCCAATACCAAGAAAGCTTAATGTTGACGTGGTAGTTATCAGGTTTCTAAAGTCGTTGATGCTTTCCATTAGCGACCTTGTTTAAAATCATTTTATAAACACACCAACTTATCAAGTGTGAAAACAGATACAGCAGTTGGCTCCCACAGAAACCATAGGTTGACCAAGGACGTCGATAAGTGTCTTTAGTTCAGACTGCTGATCCATATACAAATTGGAAATTTTGTAGTAGTTAATGTTAGTTTTAAATTACTATTAATTATATGTTACTGAACGTCCTCACACCCTAATTAATCCTACTAACAAAAATAATCCGTGGCCTTAAATATGGCAGTACTTAGTATTTGTTAAATCCCCCCAGGACTTATACACGTGAAAACGCCCCTTAAAATTTAAACATAAAATAATTTAATCTGCAGTTACTTGCTTCTGCGCATGCTTCACCTTTTCACAATTTAATTCGATCCTCAACTGATGGAAGTTGGTAAAATGCTGAAATTCATAGAAGTTTGAAGTCACCTAAATCAGGATTTCTAAACCGTAAAAAAGAGTAAAGTAATTACTGATCCTTTACGGATCCAGTTGGGCAGTTACTTATAAAAAGCACAAGACAAAAACAACTAATACCAACTAGAAACATACATTTAAGTACTACACAAAAGTTTAAAAAATAAAGTTACTAAAAGAAGATTGAAAAGGTCGGACGTCACGTATTATCACTCCTCCATTTTCAGTACTTTCGCCTCCTTGATTATCTCGGAAGCTTTTTTTTTTCTTGTTTAATATAAAAATCACGTCACAGTTTACGTTCCACTTAAGAAGCCAAACGTAAAACTAATTCGCGTAATTCTTTTTAAAGCTACTTGCCAAGTATAGAAGAGAATAAAATCCAGCTTTAAGAACTTCCTTACTTTTATAACAAATACTGATACAAGAGTTTTTGTCTGGACTTAAGCACTCAGAACAAAAAAAAATCTACACTGAAACCAGTACAACTGACCGACAATTTCACACTTGTTTTAACTCCTTAAAAAACAAACAATCACAAAAAGTTGGCGAGTGTGAAGAAACGAGTATGGGATTTCGCTTTAAGTAATTTTCAGAACAGAACAAGACTGGAGATTTTGTTTAACATATGTATTATTAAAAAAAACAGGAAAGAATTTTGATGTATAATGTTAAGTGGGAATATAAATACCATCAAGCCCATCTATTAAAGGGTTGTACTTATGTCGTGAGAGACAAAAAGCCGTGAAATCGCGTAAATTTAATGATTTTGTATTTTTGGCAATATAATTATGTCGACACTGATGGACTTATTCTTCGTATTGTGTCACTTCCGCATGCCTTGCAATCAAACAAATTTTATATGACAAACGCTCGAGTGTACAGACAGAAATCCCCCATTTTTCGTATTTAGCTGATATAATAATTGCTACATTAAACCAACGTTAATAATATTTCTAAATTAAAGTGGTTGTTATAAAGGTCGCTCATTTTTATTTTCAGTTGAATTAACTTGTCTCTGGGACGTTCATAGCCCTGATATTAACATTTTTCAATGCTTTCATACGAAAAGAACATGTTGCGCAATGGACTTAAAAATGAAAACCCTCCAAATTCTAACTCAGTACATTTGCTCGATTTATCTCATAAACAGAATGCTTAAAATCTAAATATATTACCATGAATAATGTATAATGTTAGTTATTACAACAATTTTAAGTTTCTATAGGTTCCAGTCTGCTTAAAATTAAAATACTTAATTAAGGAAGCCTAATAGGAAGAGGTATAGCTTTAGTAAAGTTACAAATAAATTTGGGTGTTATCAATCATGGCGTCCTTCCTAATTTTAAGAGTCGACGACTATAATTCTCCATTTTTCTACATTCCCAACTCAGGCTTCTAATACCTAATCCATTTTGTAATGTCATCAAGCCAAGCGAGTCTGCCTGCTTTTCGATCCTCTTCCTTCGATTTTACCCATCAGAATCTCTGCTAACCTTCATCCTTCTTTCTCCTACATGTGACAAGCTTTTCTTTTTCCCCCTTTTTGAACGTTGCAATATTTTCTCAGTAGTTTTTCTTTCTGTGTAATTGATCTTCGTTATTTGTCTGTAACACCATATTTAAAACCCTTTAACTGTCATTTCGTTAGGTTTAACTATTCTGCTACCGTATTATCCGGCGGTTCTTCATGAGTGTGAAGATACTATGTAGCTAACTAAATATAATCCATTACACTTAGGAGGAAAAATGCCGTTGCTAAAAGTTGTATAATGCACCGACTTCACACACAATCTATGCAGAAATCACAGGTTCCAAACAAAGTTCAGCACACACACACACACAAAGTACGAAACTAAAACGTAAACATGAGAGTGAACAGTAAGTTACGCATTTTACCATACAAGTTATAAATACACGTCAGACTAAGAAAAATTATTTCAGACAAAAATATCATGTATTTCGCTAATTTTTTAAAAGTGAGATTTTATGATACTATGTTGTGTTTTATCATAGCAAGCAACGAAAAATAAAGTTTCACCACAGAAACAAAGACTTGAATAACACCATCAGTTAGCTTCTCCACAAAAACAATTTAAGTCTGCATTCCTTTAGGCTAATTTTACGTGTGTATCAAATTTAGCGACTTCGTC